TGAAAATACTACGATCGAACCATCCACAGATTGGATATAAATCTACCCCGTTTACGTTTTTGAGCCAACCTCGTTCAATTCGACTCATCCAAATAAAACTAATAAAAACTGTTATCAGTCAGTTTTACAAATAATCTGCTAAAATTTGGTGTGTTTTTTGCTGAGAGTCATTCACAACATGTACTCCAGGAGCTACGACACATATTTCATTTACAAGGGTTGAACAAAACTTCTAGAACTCTGTCATTTCTCAACACGAGATGATTTTAGTCCAAGGGATGAACCAGATATTCATCCCTTCATTTTGATGTTAAGTTGCTTTTGTTTTTCAGAATTGATTTTATTACAGAGCGTCACTTCTTTTACTGTACGGGAAAATGAAGTTGGAAAAAAAACATCAAGTCACGTGTAGTTTAAAACCTTATTAAAGATAAATTAGAAGATTTCTGCATACGTCTGTCTAATCAGGCCTMAATTTTCAACTTGAAGCTTATGGATTTCATTTTTGCTCTATATGCAGGGTCAGTAGGCCGCTGATTCACTAATGCCATAACATTATTTCTCCTCTGGCATTTAGCATACACCCCCTCCCTTTACACACACACACACACACACACGCTCACACACACGCACAAAGCAGACACCCCTACTGCATCAGAGTGCCAGTCACATTCAGTCACAGATGAAGAGGATGAGCCAATTGAGCTGCACACAGTATGATCTGCATATAGATGAAGGTGTTCTGTGCTTCAACAGTAAAGCTCCAACCCCCCACAAATCTACACACAAGCACACGCACAATCACCAGACAGGAAGATCAGTCACACAAAAAAAAAAACTTGCTCGTCTATACGTTTGATTGTCACAGAGCTCAACTGGGCAACAAATAGCCACTCGTTTCTTTCCCCCCCCGAGGTGTTTATATCTCTAACAAGACAGATTTGACGCAGGATTTGTCACAAAGTGCCGGGTTGAACTCCATCCTCTGAACTCCTAGCGTTGTTGTATTTTTTTTGCCAAGCTTGCCACTATTCACTGACACTCCTCCAAGCATTSTTGGCCTGTTCTGATTTACTGGCAGAACTCTTGTAGCACCTGGTTATCATATCCTCTTAAGAGGGTTTTACAGTGGGAGTATAAAAGACGGCAGCCACGCCTCGTAAACAGAGGCATCCCCTGCACATGAATATGAGATATCAACTCAGGGTGGACTGTTTGCTCCGGGATTCTGACGCCGTTCACTCACACACACACACGATCCACATCTCATCTCGCTCACTTTCAACCCCCACTTGTCCACAGATGCTAGATAATGGAGATGTGAGGTGTGTGTGCCCCTCCCCTCCCCCTTCTCCACAATAAAAGCTAATAATGAGCAGCAGATCTGTTCAGCTCTTCAGGAGGAGTCTTAGATTGCCTGCTGAAAGTATTAGGCATGTTAATCTGTTGGACCCACAGATCATCCAATAATCGTGCTCGCAAGACAACACTCCATTAACACGGAGTTAATGTCAGGAGGGGGGTTGCAGGCTCCTTTTTTTTGTTATTTGTGTGAGAGTGAGAGTCTGCCTGGTAGTGACATCTCATTTTTCCCGCTAAGCTTTAGAGTCCACAGATATGAAGTGGGACACATGCACACACTGTGTGTGATGAGCCATCACCGGGACAGTTCTGGGTGGTTTAGGATGACATTGTTGAGTTTCCTACCTCCATTCTGCCTCCTAAACATTTGAGGATGTTTTCTACTTTCATTGTCAGTCATCTGTTTTAACTTAAATATAATTTTTTTTATTTTCTACTTTAGAACATGTCCAAATGGTGCCAATGCAGCTCCTGCCCAAAATTCCAGCATTCATGAATTTTCTCCCTAAAGTCCAATAGGAATTTGGGAATTACTCTATTATAATCAAATTATTCGACATTTTGATGTATAAACTGTATAAAATGTGTAAAGTTAACCAAGATCAAAAGAAATGGTAAAGCTGCTGCCACTATCTCCTTAAGGTTATCATGGTAAACACTTACCTGCCACTCACATTCACTGTTAGCATCCCTAACAAGATTGTAAAATGGAAATGCATTGTAGATATTAGATCTCACATAAACACTGTTCAGTGTTGTATAGATGAAATTCCTGAGCTGGAAGTTGTAGCAGAAGTGTCGTCTCAAATACCATGTTATTTGTCTCTTAGGTTTTTTTGTTAGGGTCAGCTCAAAAAACCATTTTCCTGCATAGGTGCAAGTAAACTTTTGTCACATTGTGTTGTGTATATGCTGTACTTCATAAAGTCTTGACTGTCACACAAGTACAGTTACAGCAATGATATATACTCCAGCTAAATTTCTTCTCTGGAGGTAATAATAGTTTGAGAACTTATCCAGAAACAAAATTCTATACAAATTCATACTTTTGAAATTGTTTGTTTTTTTCAGACTACCCCAGTTCAAAGAGGAAGCCAAGAGTTTTGTGGGTGCCAACATGAAGAAGGTAACGCAACTGAGATGTTGAATGCCTAAATGTTTTGCTTGCAAACAGTTTGGCTTCAGTCTTCCTGTCTTGAGTTTTCTCTTTGTCACTGGATTGGTTTTGTTCTTGGTGTTAGCCTGTTTGTGGGTGTGTGGATGTCAATGATTACTAGTTAACAGGCTAAAAACAGTGAGTTTTCAACTTTCATTGCAAACATTAGACTGCATGTTTTCAGTAATGATGTATATTTTTGTTTATTAAAATGATTAAATGAACAGAGAAGGTAGAATAAGGGTGATATTATTTAGCTGCAGCTGCACTCGTAGCACAGCAGCCTAAGCAGGGTTAGCATGRCCTGGTGGGAGTGCATGAAGGTGTGTATTATTTTTTAAAACTTGGTTGATGTTCAGTGTTTTAAAAATGGTTTTCCACACACCACCTTAAGTTTTTTTTTCAACCAAAGCAGTTTATTTAGAGTAGCAAATTTAGAGTATAGCAAATTTAGTTTTTAGTTCATTATTATTAATCCTGCTTCAGCTACAAACACAACACTATACTTATATATGTAAAAGTAATCAGTTTATTAAATACTTTGCCATCACCAATATGAAAATGTGATACTATTCTGTTACCTGTAATTTATTAATTCATAATCACAAGATAAAATATTTAAAAAACTGGTGCAGTTTTCATCTATTTAATCACACACATTAGATGTAAATAATAAAATAATGTGTACTTTGTATCAGACTAAAACCTAACAATAGCTTTGCCTTATTATCTCTTCAAAAGCATTATTGTTTCTCCAGGCATTTATAAGGAGTACAACAGGGCTGTTGACAGTGCARTCTGGGACAAATTTGCCTGTTTTTAATTGTTTATTTGTTCCTTGCATATAGTAAAAATCAAAAGTTTAAAAATATATATGAATAGGTTTTCTTTGATTCTGACAAGCCTAAGCAAAGTGCAATAATACTAGGGATGCACCGATACCAGTTTTTCTCAAACCGAGTAAGCATACTTCAGTTTGGGTACTCGCCGACGCAGAGTACATAATGAGTACTTACAGAATTGGAACATAAACATTAGATAGTCGTTATTAAAATACATATATAAATTAGAACCTGGTACTAAATCAGATACGTGTTTGCCAAAGTGAACCTATAGGCATACTTAAACACTTGACTGGTACTGTTTTATTAGTCCAAAACTTTTCTAGCCATTTCTGCATGCTTYCTCCCAGCCTTCAGCTGCTCTTCCTGCTCATTACCCGGCTGCTGATTCTACAGTGTTTGTAGCTTGTAGCTGCTGCGTCTGTGCCTCTAAACCCTCTGCCCAGTTTGGATTTCACCCGCTTCCTATCATGCACGGTTGTTTCTGCTTGAGTGTGTTGTGTGTTTGGCTGATAAATTTTCCATCACTAATCATGGACACCTGCCTCCTCCCCTTCTCTTCTGAGGCTTACAATATCTTGTGGAAAAACAAACGTGTGCAGGTAAGGAAGATGGCTCAAAGTACAGCTTGTAGGCTTCGTAACTTTTTCCGTTGATCTCGGGGTGAAGCTGCTTKTCCAGCTTTCACGTGTCCTTGTTTGTGTATTTTCTTTTACACGTTGTTCTCTTTGCTAAGATGCTTCAACGTTTTACATTGTTTTTTTTAATACATTTACAATTTTTTTTTACTTGCACAACCTAAGATGGAACTTTTGTCCTATCTTTAAGGAGTCGCTCTTAAAACACTCAAAATCAGTTTAAATAGATAACATTTTAACATAGAAATGTCCAACTGTATGGCTGGAAACCTCATGGGTCAATGTTCCTTATTAATTTCAAGGTCATAGGTCTGTGCTCTAGCTGGACATCTGAGTATCAGAAATGTCAAACCTTTCAATCACTAGATTGTCCCTATATGTCCATCCATAAGACAGTCCACAGTAAATTGTCCACGGTGTAACATCACAAATGTTTAGGATAGAAAAATTCTTATTTTTTAGACCACTTCCACCAAATAAATCTTGAGTGATAAATGGTGATGTGTGCTAAATCATACAATGGTTAGGATAGGCTAGTAGTCATAAACAGGTAAGTTCTTTACATTCAGACTTCAAAATTTCATGTTCTTACATGCCCTTGAATTGAACTGTTTGCGATTTACACAATGGACAACATTATCAGTTATATTGACCTTATATATTTAATAATTCGTATTCAAGCTTGTTGGATGAGGCAATTCATGCTTTGGACTTTGATTACACTAACAATTTATTGATGGGTGTATTAAGTATGGCTTTTTTAAAATCAAGAAGTAGATCATAGAAGCTATGCTATCAGGGGCAATTGCTCCAAATAGGGTTTCCTAAGGCAGATTGGTCCTAGGTGACAGACCAGACAAAAAGCAGGTTAGAATACTCAAATAGATATATGTTAACATGGAGCTTGATGTCCGTCACTGATATGAGTTACTGTGGCCCTACCATGGGACCAGGCCTGGGGGAGGGGCTCTTCCCCTAGCACCTGGTGACCGGACCTCTACCCATGGGACCCGGTCAGACTCACCCCAAAGGAGTTACAATGGGGTGCGAAATTTCTGGCAGCCTTGTTAATTTTCTTGATTTACCTTTATAAATCATTGATTGTTTGGATAAAAAAAATCTAATAAATCTAGTATGGGACAAACACAGTGATATTTGAGAAGTGAAATGAAGTAGATAGGATTTACAGAAAGTGTGCAATAATTGGTTAAATAAAATTAGGCAGGTGCATAAATTTGGGCACAAAAAAACAACAACCCATAACTCAATATTTAGTAGATCCTCTTTTCGCAGAAATAACAGCCTCTAAATGCTTCCTGTAGCTTCTAATGAGAGTCTGGATTATGGCTGAAGGTATTTTAGACCACTCTTCTTCACAAAACATCTCTAGTTCATTCAGGTTTGATGGTTTCCAACCACAGACAGCTCTCTTTAAGTGACACCACAGATTTTCAATAATATTCAGATCTGGGGACTGAGATGGCCATTCCAGAACATTGTACTTGTTCCTCTGCATGAATGCCTTAGTAGATTTTGAGCAGTGTTTAGGGTTGTTGTCTTGTTGGAAGATCCAGCCCCAGCTTCAGCAGCTTCAGCTTTGTCACTGATTGCTGGACATTGGTCTCCAGAATCTGCTGATATTGRYTRGAATCCATGCGTCCCTCAACTTTAACAAGATTCCCAGTCCCTGTACTGGCCACACAGCCCCACAGCATGATGGAACCACCACCAAATTTCGCTGTAGATAGCAGGTGTTTTTCTGGGAGTGCTGTGTTCTTTTTCCTTCATGCATTACGGCCCTTGTTCTGCACAAATAACTCTATTTTAGTTTCATCAGTCCACAGCACCTTATTCTAAAATGAAGCTGGCTTGTCCAAATGTGCTTTAGCATACCTCAAGCAGCTCTGTTTGTGATGTGGGTGGAGAAAAGGCTTCCTCTGCATCACTCTTACATACAGCATCGCCTTGTGTAAAGTGCTGAATAGTTGAACGATGCACAGTGACTCCATCAGCAGCAAGATGATGTTGTAGGTCTTTGGTGCTGGTCTGTGGGTTGACTGACTGTTCTTTCTTTTTTTTCTTAATATTAGTTTCTTAATTTCTTCATCATCAGTGATTTTTTAAGTAAAGAGAAAAATAGAGAAAGATGGAAAAACAAAGAGAGAAGTAATCAGAAATATTGAAATAGAGATTAGAAATATATTAAATACACACCAAGAAAACACAGGACCACACACCCAACATCTGTCCGCTCACCTGAAAAATAATAGATAGATACATGGATGGCATATATAAATATATACACACCCATACATATATAAAGATATACATACATGCCTACATTCATACACATTGTCAATATATACACACAGACATATACAGTATACACACTCAGTGACCAGTCAGAACCCCCCGCATCAGAACACCTGTTTGTGAGCGGTTGTGAACATGTGTGTATATACAAGATTTCTCCAATGGAATATTTAATTGTGACTGTGGAGGACTGAAGGCCCAATCCCCAAGACACGAGGCAGACATAGGGAAGACCAGAGCCCAAGGGCCCGAGAGGGATCCCAAGCGCAGAGCCCCAAGGGATCTTGGAGGCTCATCTAGAAAGATCTTCCCGTGTGGGTGCACGGGAAGATCTGCCCACCCTCCCCCMAGATCAGACCATAGGGGAGAACTGGGAGAGTCCCCCCCAGCGACCACACGCACAGCCCCCGGGGCCAGCAGCGACAAACTCATGGGCCCCACCGGCACCCACCATACCAGAGCAGATCCAGGAAAGGGCACAGAGGTCTGGGCCCCCAGGGCGCACCTCCTCCAGGCCAAAGCCCGACAGGGCCAGAGGCTCTGACTGCTCTCAACATCCTTCGCTTCTGTTTATTGGATATTTGTCTTTGTCTGCCACTTCCAGCCTTGACTTGAGCTGTGCCTGTTGTCCTCCATTTTCTCACAATGTTTCTCACAGTGGAGACTGAAAGCTGAAATCTCTGAGATACCTTTCTGTATCCTTCCCCTAAACCATGACTGTGAACAGTCTTTGTTTTCATCTCGTTTGAAAGTTGTTTTGAGACTCCCATGCTGCAATTCTTCAGACAAGATGCAAAGACGAGAAAAACTTACAATTGCCCCCCCTTAAATACCCTTTCTCATAATTGGAGACACCTGTGTATGGAGGCCAGTATGGAGGCCAAGGGTCACTGAACGTACCAAACCAAATTTGAGTTCCAATAATTAATTCTAAAGGTTTTGAAATCAATAAAATGACAACAGTGCCCAAATTTATGCACCTGCATAGTTCTATTTAACCAGTTATTGCACACTTTCTGTAAATCATTTAAACTTCATTTCACTTCTCAAATATCATTGTGTTTGTCCCATATATGATATATTTTACCGATTTTTAAAAAAAAAAAATCCAAACAGTTAATGATTTTTAAAGGTAAATCAGGAAAATTAACAAGGCTGCCCAAACTTTCGCACCCCACTGTATATGGGTTTGCTTTCCTGTGTGCCCACCACCTACAGGACAGGTTATACAAGTTGGGGTTGTAGTGGTATGGGTGATAGCCAAAGGTCAGTGCCTTGGCACTCTGACACTGGTTTACCAAAGCTGGCTCTTGGGACATGGAATGTCACCTCTCTAGAGGGGAATGAGCCCAGGCTTGTGTGGGGGTTGAGAAGTACTGACTGCATTTAGTTGGGTTCACATTGACATTCAGCATGGGCTCAGGAAACAGTCTCCTCGAGAGAGGCTGGACCTTATTCCATTCTGGAGCTGCCCCTTGTGAGAGGAACCGGGCTGGTGTGGGCCTAACTTATAGCCTCCTGGGTGTGCGTTGGACGAGAGGTAGATGACAGAATAGCTTCTGTATGCCTTTGGGTGAAGGAGCAGGCTCTGACTGTTGTTTTTGCCTGTGTGCTGAATAGCAGTTTGTAGTATTCAGACTTCTTGGTGTCCTTAGTGGGAGAGCTAGGAGGTTCTCCAGCTGGGGACTCTTTTATTCTGCCGGGGGATTTCAGTACCCACCTAGGTAGCGACAGTGAGACCTGGATGTGCTTGATTGGGAAGAAAGGCCTCTCTGAACTAAACTCAAGCAGTGTTTGTTTGACTTCGGTTCTAGTCAGTTTTTCCACCACACACACTATGTTTGAATACAAGTGTGCCCATAAGTTCACGTGGCACCAATAGATGCTCTCTCTTAAAAAGCTCATAAAGTCAGTAAGAAAGACTTTAAAGTGAGATAAAAGACAGGTTTGGGCTTTACTCAGTAGTGATTGCCCCACAGATATGTTTCCAGAGGCTTCACTAACCTCACCTCTTTTTCATTCAGTTAAAGATGCGAGCTGGCGGGATGAGTGAATCATCCAAGTGGAAGAAGCAGAAACGCTCACCAAGGCCGCCACGCCACATGGTCCACAGTTCCTCTGGTCAGCTGGACCCAAACCAGCCGAGCACTCTCAGCAACAACCTCTCAGGTAACAAAACATTCAGGGGAAAAAAAATCCCCTCATAAAAAGTGAGTAACTGTTGTGCCTTTTTGTAAGAAAACAAATTTACTCCTGAACAACTGGATTGATTTTAATGAAACCCGTAGAGAAATTAATTCATAAATGTGTGATTATAACATCCTGACTCAAGATGACAGCTACAGCTAATTGACCTCAGCAAACACAAAAATGGCTTTAACTTGGTTAGTTTTATAGACGTTGAGATAAAGTTTAGTTTGGCAGTAACTTAGTCGTCCTGGGATCGTCTAAAGAATAACCTATTTTTTGGACTCATCATAATGATTTAATCCTGTATTCATGCTGTATGACACTATGTTTGTTTCCATAGGTGGCGTCCCATTCATTGAACAGGTCTCATCAAACTGTAGCCTTGCAACCTCCGACAGCGCTGGCTCGTCCATTTCCAGTCCTTCAACCACAGACAGTGGCCTGGAAACAGGCTCCAAAGCCACTTCCAGAGAAGATCTTTCTGACCTGGAACAGTGTAGCTCCTCTGCGACCACGCCCTGCGCTGCTACCTCATTCCCTGGTACTGAGTCTGGCTCCTCAGATGCACAGGTAAGGGTTGTTTAGGAATCCTCTGTTATTACATTACAGACATTATAGTTGGCTGATTATATTTCGTTGGTGGTATTGTGTACATCCCACAGTAGGGATTTCCTTGGTGTTTTCTGTGGATGAAAGGTGTGACATGAACTTATTGTTGTTCCATTTGTCACGCAGTCTGAGGGCAGGCAGGCTGAACCAGCTCAATCAGCCTCTGTGGAGTCCATTCCTGAAGTTCTGGAGGACAAAGACTCTGTTACTGAGCAGTCAGACACCAGCTCTGTTCATGACATGGACTATGTCAACCCTCGAGGAGTGCGGTTCACTCAGTCCACACAAAGAGATGGTAGGTATGCAAGAGGTTTTAAAGAAGTCCTGTCTGTGCTGTTGTTACTGTTTTATCTGATTTTAATGGGAAACCTGAGTAGTTGTAACATTAAATTTTATTTGATAAACATTTCCTTCAACTGTAAAAAAAAAGACTGTGAAAATATTGTAGGCTGTTGGGATTTTATGAATTAAAAACAATGTTTTCCCAAGGACAGCGCCATTTTATGTATGCCACAAAACATACAAGCTAAATGATGACGTTCAWTAGGTTTTCCTATGAGAGGTTGTGAGTGAGCTCTATCCAGCTTGAAGGTTAATTTTGGACAAGATCTTATGATCAGCCTCACTGACAGACAGGAGAATGTTGAACTGCCTCAATCTGTAATTGCGAATGTGTATTGACGACAACAGAGCTGCTTCATTGCAGGAAAAACCTCAGCTGAGCCTGTTAGCTTTTCGCATTGGCGCCCAAGTTAATACACATATGGCGATAAACCGTTAGCTGCATATAAACTAAGGTCACACATTAGTAATATTTAGCAAGTAATCTCTGTAAATCATAAGATGTAACAGTGAACTCTTTCTATTAGGGTTGGGCAATATTGGCAAAATAATTAATAACAATTAATTGTGGTATTTAGCCAATAACGATTAATTTGATGATTAATCCCCTGGAGTCCCTGGACACCCTTATGTCCTAGTCATATGACCAATTTAGTGGGAAAGATTTGCTGTTCATAAAAATCTGTTCCAAATTGTGTCAAAATTACAGACTTCAGGCTATACATCAATTTTAAATAGTGTTGATAGATAAATAAATTACAGAACTTTTTTTTTAAATGTTCGTTATATTTGAAGTGGAGAGGATCACCGAGCGGACTCTGCCTCGTGGCATTAATCGTATTAATCGTCAAGTGCCAAAAAATAATCGATAAATGTTTTTCTGACGATTAATTGCACACGATTCGATTATGCCCAACCCTACTTTCTATTTAGAATAGAATAGAAAAAGCCTTTATAGTCCTGCCGAGAGGTCCGTACAGAGGTTCACACACTAGTTACTTTACAAACTATAAATAGTGCACACAAAATGAAATTAACACTGACTAGCCATGATACAACTACTGAAAATAAAAATATAATATAAAGAATTGTGCAAGAATAGAAAAAAGATATATCATGTTATATCAATGAGTACTCAAGGAGAAGGAAAACAAATTTTGTCTTTTTGGTAATAATCTTATATATGGTGTTAGATCCTGTGCTAATAGGCTATAACGCCATATGGATGAGGTTCATAACATATTTCAAGAGCTAACAGATCGCACAAGTTCGCACTTTGTTTAGTAAAACTGCACTATAATAGTTAAAACACCATCATTTCTTAAACAGAAAAAAATAAAATAAATCTTTGTTCACAGGCATAAAGGCAGATGGCGTTCTGCATTCCTTCAAAGAATACTAAGCCTGCTAATTATAAACATTGTGCACAAAAATGTGTCCATATTATTTGATTATAAAAGTTCAGTAAACAATTTACCATTTGTTTCTTTCAATAGTTATATTTTCACTCGTTTTCTCTTCTCTTTTGTGCAAAGGAGTCTCTCTTATCCCCTACGGCCTGCCATGCCTGAGGGAGGTTTTCCGCTTTCTGATTTCACTGACCAACCCTCATGACCGCCACAACACTGACGCTATGATGCACATGGGCCTGCAGCTTCTCACTGTAGCGCTCGAGTCAGCGCACATAGCTAACTACCAGTCTTTACTCRTCCTGGTGAAAGATGAGCTATGCAGACATCTGTTTCAGGTAAAATACAGCAAACTTGTTTAATGCTCACTTTTAAACTGATGTCATGAGTAACATAATGAAAAAAACAAAAGTTATCTCTTCTGATTATGCATCTAATCTGTGTCATAGCTGCTGAGTGTGGAGCGTATGAATCTGTATGCTGCTTCCATTCGAGCTTGCTTCCTGCTCTTCGAAAGCATGAGAGTACATCTAAAATTTCAGCTGGAGGTAAGTGAAGACGGTCTTCTAATCTCACTGATTTTGTACTTATGGATCGTTCACTAATAAAATGAGACATTTGTGGGACATTTTTGTAAACGACRTGCAATCTTGTTTGTTGCAATTTAGTCCCATTTTGTCCCCAATCAGTTGCAATTTGGCTTCAGGGGTCRTCTTGATTCTTAGAAACTAAATCATGCGACATAAAAACGAGTGCCTGAGTCCTGCTCAAGAAAATTGGGAAACCTCAAATGTTTCGAAACATTTTGGAAACTTGCTTGCCAATGCCGTTCGCAATTTCTCACCATCAGTCACAGATTGATGATACACATATGTAAAGCTCTATCAGTTAAACATMATTTAAACTGAATTATATCACAGACCCAAATCCGATCCCAATAATACTTTTGCCAAGAAATTAGTTCTCCACTTTCCTGAATACCAACAGCTAATTTAGAAGAACGTACAGCTGAAATTCTAAAGGCATTAGGCAACATTGAGAGTAGTGAGAAAAATGTGGTGTTTGTATTCAGAATATTTAACAATATCATAATTGCACAGTTTTTCTTGTAAAATTGTGCAGCCCTAGATTTAGACTAATGGATTAATTTTGTGAAACGTCAGATGTACTTGAAGAAGCTGATGGACATCATCACATCAGAGAACATTAAGATGCCCTATGAGATGAAGGAGATGGCCCTAGAGGCTCTGGTCCAGCTCTGGAGGATCCCCAGCTTTGTGACTGAGCTCTACATCAACTACGACTGTGACTTCTACTGCTCCAATCTGTTTGAAGACCTCACCAAGCTGCTGTCCAAGGTAACATACTGAGGAGAGGAAACAATGGAGAATTCAACATTTATTTCTACAGGGCTTCTACACAGTGTCAAAATAATAAAGATGTAGGAGCCCTGTGTTGGCTTTCTAAAYGGTTTTTACAGGGTACTTTTTTTGTAGAACTTTATTTCATTCTACAAACAAATAATAAAACAAACAATTAATAAAAGAACAAACAAATAATACAACATCTTTGTGTCAAAAAGATAATCACAACGTAGTCAAATGAAAAGGAGCAGAAAGAAGAATAAAATCTTATATCATCTGCCCCAAATTTAAATATATATGTATCTTAAAAAACGTACAAAATACAAGTAATAAAACTCAACTTAATACACAATATCATTTTAAATAATCAACAAACAGCATCACAACACAAATACAAATCTTAACCAATAATTTGTTCATATCTCATTTAAAAAAGACTTTTAGTATTCTACTAAATAAATACATTGTTCCAGCATTCTTAAGGTCATCAAGCAAAATATATATATATTTTTCCCCTTTCTTCTTCTCTTTTTTTTCTTTTAAATATGTATTTCATTTGAAAGAAAAACAAAAAACTGCTACAACTTAAAAGAGAAAATTTCTCAAGGCGCAAACAGCCTGTGGATATTCATTAATAACAGTTCACTTTTTAACATCAGTGATGAACATCATACAACAAAAACAATCTAAAAATTAAATTAAAAAATACTCAAATTAATACTCAATCTACATTTTGTTCATATTTTAATAACAAAAAAGATAAATGTTTCAATCTCCAGTTCATCTTCGTGTTGATAGTTTTGAATAACACAAAAAAAAGTTTTGAATAACTAATTGTACTTACTTCTGTACATTTTATTCGGAATGACACATAAAGAACACAAGTTCAGTTGAACGAAAACATCACCATCTAGAGAATTTTTGTTTTTGTCCCTCATTGATTGATASTCCCATGAAAAAACACAGGTAATGACTAATGGATTTTTTTTTTTGTAAATTTTATTGATATTACAAGGTGAGTCAAAAGTCACAGGACATCCTTTTATTTCAGAATCCAAAAGTGGAATTGACATACCTGAATACCCCAACAAGTAAGGGTGGGGTAATCAGTAGTGTCATTGTCCACTTTGTGTCCTGAGACTTTTGACTCACCCTGTAATTTACTGCCTATTTATAGCCATGGATAAAATRAAGTTAATCTTTTTTTAGTTCGGTGGTTTGGGGACATAATTCAAATGTTCTGTTTTTATCAGATTGTAAAATATTACAAAACTTGAAAAATAACTATTAAAAATGTGAAGAGACTCATTGGTTTAATCGTTTAATGTGGCATTCCTTAGTTGTTCTATTTTAATACAGAAGCACTGTGTTGAAGCTGTCTTATTTTCTTCTCTCCTCTTTCCTGTTTATTTCTGTTTGAACAGAATGCATTCCCAGTGTCAGGGCAGCTGTACACCACTCACCTGCTGTCCCTGGAGGCCCTGCTCACTGTAATTGACAGCACTGAAGCTCACTGTCAGGCCAAAGTGCTGAACACGGCTCAGCAGGACCAGTCAGACACACTGCTGGCAGAAGACGTTTCCTCCACAAATGGACACGGCTCGACCACTGGTATGCATCGTAATAGATGAATACATTTGTGAATATATACTTTTTTTTATATAAACATGTTTTCTTCTTGTCCTTAGATGTTAATAGAATCGGCAGCACTACTAGTTCTGTTCCAGCGGTGAATGCTCCAGTGTTCCCACCAACCAGTGGACACCTGATGGCCGAGCRGATGAGGCTGGGCAGACAGGATCAGGGAGACAATGATGCTGGTGAGGCTCAAAGTTTTGTCTTCAACGTCCTACAGAATAATGTGTAGAATCTGTAATCAGAAGCTGATTAAAATTTAATCATTTCCTTCAGCAGATAAGAAAGCTCCAAAAAAGCCTCATCGTTTCTCCTCCTGTTTACCCGATTCTCAGGAGCTGATGGAAATTAGAACGAAGAAAAAGGTTGGTGCGACTGATTGTTCTCCATGTTGTTACAAAACTTTGATCACTTCCATAACTTTTTTTAATATATATATATTTGTTTTGTGCTCAGCTGTTGTTCACAGGTGCAGAGCAGTTTAACCTAAAGCCCAAGAAGGGAATCCAGTTCCTGCAGGAAAAGGGTCTTCTCAGTGACCCCATGGACAGCAACCAAGTGGCCCAGTGGCTCAGAGAAAACCCTCGTTTGGACAAGAAAATGATCGGCGAGTACATCAGCGATCGYAAGCACATGGACCTCCTGGACAGCTTTGTGAAGTAAGCGTGGACTTCCAGTTCATACAGTAGATTTATTCATCGTTTCATGTGGTTCACTCTAAACTGAATTTCTCTTGCAGCACGTTCACCTTTCAGGGCCTTCGAATCGACGAGGCTCTGCGGCTCTACCTGGAGGCCTTCAGGCTCCCCGGAGAGGCTCCYGTTATTCAGAGACTCTTGGAAACTTTCACTGACAACTGGCATGTAAGGCGCTTTCTCCCCAACTTTCTGAATAACATTGAAATCGGTCGTGTTGGCACGGTCACTACAATATTTCAAGCGTTATTTTAGCTCCAATGGAGGCTTTTAGCTGAATTACTGTATCATGTATGTTGCTTAAATGAAACCAAAAGTGCAACAAATTTAATCTTAACCTCATTCTAAAAAAAAGAAAACATAAAAATAGGAGAAGTGTTCTAAGTCTTCTATTTTGTTATGACCTGAAATTTAAATGCTTTTAAAATTTTAATTAAGTAATGAACTTGTACAAAATACCCCAGATTAATGAAATTGTGAGGAAAATGCTTGTTTGAAACAATTCTAAATAAATTAAAAACAGATAAGTGGTGYATTCATATATACATAACCCATTTGTTTTGAGCAGCCATATATGTATTTCTGTTCAAAAGCATTTTAATGGCAGAGTCCTGCTGTGGGGTTGTATATCATCAGCAGAGACAGAGACCCAGGTCAGGACTACTGTATTTATTCAAGTATTATATGTAAAATTAAATCCATAAAATCATCCATAAAGTTGGGGGGTAGTACGATACTCGGATAAATATTTTTACTTATGTATTTTAACTGAAATATCGGCTTCATTCACAAAATGGTGAGTCCGGAAATGAGACCGCGTTGTAAAAAGCAGTTGAAACGAGCTCACCTCTGACACTCCTCCGTGCTTCAGAGTGAGATAGTAACAGATCCAAGCAGGCGACATGATGTGAAAAAAAAAAAGGGGGGGGGGTAGTCCCGCACCTTAGTAATGATAGAGAACTAATGACATTAGCGTGTGGCCGGGCCGCTCCTCGAACAACAACAACAACCACATGTTCGTCTGTATTGGCTGCTGTCTACCAGTGTTCTGAAAAGTTTGTATCCCTGAAAAAAGTTTCCCCACCAGAGGGGGCGCTCGCGAGTTGGAAGTAATCTGCTTTTCCCCCACAAGATGGTCCAAACCTCATGTGAAGTCTCTGACTTTTGTGTTGGCGCATCCTGGTAGACTGTGTGTAAAATGCCAGAATTCATATGATGCTGCTACAGCTGATACAGTATATATTGTCAAAATACCTTTTAGTACAAATG